CCCGACGGCCGACGGGCGGCCGGCGAGGCACGGCCGGCCCCGCCGGGGCTCAACGGCCCGGGTGGGAGCGGCGCGGCGGGCAGGGGAGCGGCGGAGGTGGCACCGGGAGTGCGGCCGCCGGAGACGGAGCGGGCTCCGGGTCGGGCTGCTGCGGCCGGGCCGCACGCCGCGGGCCGGTGCGGCGGCGGGGGAGAGCCGGCGACGCCCACCATCAGGTAGGTCTTCTCCCGGTGTGCTTCTCTCGTCTGGTCAGTCCCAGGTCTGCATCGCCACTGGGGCGGACCAAGCCGGGGTGCCCACCGGCGGAGGACAGACGCCGCGGGTCTATTGATCAGCCGGGCCGCGGTGGCGGCCGCCGGCTCTGCTGCCGTCCGACTGCCGGCTTTATGGGGTCGGTCGACACCCGTTTCCAGGGACGTGAGCCCGCTCGCTCGTCGGGCGCGAGCGAGCGAGCGGGCGACCTCGCCCGGCGTCTCTCGTGGCCACACGGGAAGCGGCGGCAGACCTCACCTGTGCGGGCGGTACGCGGTGATGGCGGCGCCGCGCGGCGCTGTGGTTCGCCGCCGGCTGAGGGGCTCCGGGAGACGCCAGCTCATCGGGTGTCCAAACCCGACCCACCGGTGTGAACACCCAGCGGCGTGACGTGGCCTGTGACTGAGATGACGCCACCGGCCGGGCCATCGCCGCCCGGCCCCGTGCCGCCGTTTTATCGCCGGGCTCTGCTCTGACGGCCAACACTTGGGCCATGTGCCCACAAGCCGGCGCTCAGCTGGCTGAGATGGGCTGTTTTTGTATCGCCACTAACCCTCTCAATGAAGTCTGAGGCGTGCTTTGTGCAGCCGTAATTAACACGTTTGAATGGGGTGCGGCAGTTGTGGTGCTAGGCTTAAAGAAGCTCCACCATCGTCATGCATTATGTATCTGTCAACAGACATGGATGGTCGGATGAGTTACGGAGGAAGGGGGGGGGGGGGGGGGGGGGGGAGGCGGAGGCAGGGTGGGTCTAACGTAAAGTAATCAGAGATTGTGTAGCTTCAGCCTCCCAGCTCGCCATGTCGATCACGCTTTTGACGGGCTTCTATTTTCGCAGCCACGGTCATATTGGCAGCTAGCCCTCAGCAACATGTAGCACAGTTCTTTAGCCGTTGTGCGGTAACCTTATCAAGACATTTGAACACACAAGCTGATCAGGCAGGGTTTTCCCGCAATAGTGCAACATCACCATATTTTCACCTCTCCATTCGTTTACCGTGAAGAACATAAAACGTTTATATTGCGAAAAAGCTGCAAGGACATGTCGACAGCACGTTCAGATCTCGAACGATATATATATATATATATATATATATATATATGTGTGTGTGTGTGCGTGTGTTTGTATATATGCATGTAGGTATATGTGCACACCCTGCTAGCGTCTCCATTATCTGGCTGCCATCGCCAAAAACTATGCCTGTCCTAGTCCCTCGATTTTGTCAAGTAAAGGAAGCAGGCCCCACGCCAGCGAATACAGATTCAAGCACAAACTCAAGCGACAAAATTTGTAAATTTGTGCGCAAGCACAGAGCATCACGGCACCTCCATCCGCGTAACATTCTCAAGTCACATATTTCATTGCATTGGCAGATCTATTCGTTTGATGCTCTCAAGAAGATGACCGGCCACACTTGCATGCGTTTTGGTAGGATTTCCGTCATGGTGACGCTTTTGCCTGTCATCACTATGCTCATCTCTGGCTCGCCGCAGGTCTCTGGCCGGTGCCAGATTAGGTAGATACTGGTAATCGATTCAGGCTGCACTGAGCACCAAACCTTTGGTTGGAAATCTCGAAAAGTTTCCATCGCCGCTGCTCCTGCTGAGGCTGTGGCGTCCACGCCGCAGCCGGCTGACGCGTGTCTACAAATTGCCTTCATTAGTAACTGTAAGCGTGGCTGCTGGCGATAACAGGCCGCCCACCCGAATCGTGTCGTGCTGACGGCCGGCGCCGGCCCCGGCGCTGTTGCGCGGCCCGTCCGGCCCGACGCCTTCAGTGGCCTGCCGGAACACAGCGCGGCCGACTGCGGACGCGGGCGCGCCCGTGCCGGCGTCGGCCCGCCGGCGTCGGAGCTGCCCAGCTCCGAAACGGGCGGCTGACGTGTAAACGGAAGTCTGCACACCCGCTGGCGAAGGGCGGCCTTGGCCTCGTGTTCGGTGGGGGAGAATTTACGCAAGCCTGGCGAATGCGATTTCAGGTGATTGATGACGGCGTGCTGCAGACGACCGCCGTGGTCGTCTAGTGTGATAGTGTCTAGTGTGGCAGTGCCGCACCAGATAGACGAAGTCGCTTGGGCCCGGACGCCGCCGCCGCCAAGTGTTACACTTGCCGAAATAGCGCTATGACCGGGGTAATTCGCGCGTCCTAAAGCACAAAAGGTTATCGTCGTCATGAAATAGTGGTCTTGACCTAACCTGACGACCTGCTGACCGCACCCTAGCGCACCTTGGTTGAATATTTTCCGTCACACAACTGTCGTAGAGAGCGCATGCGCTTCTCTGCGTGTGATCCCGACGTCAGGGATAACAGTTTCGTCAGTTGCCGGGCACCACTCTGCCATGCTATCAGTACTTATCATGACCTGCGCGAGCTGATGCTAGTCCAGTATGAGTTTGCCATCTGCAGCTGCGGTGGCCCGTGTGGATTCTGGGTAACGCGACGTGGCGCAAGAGTGCACTCCGGCAGTGTGAGCGCGGCAACACTGCTATGAATCGGCCGTGTGTGACGCACGCCTGAATGATTCAAGCTTTCAGGTATGTTTTACGTGTCTGCGTCGCATTTGCTTGGCTTTTTGTGAATTCATCTCATCTGGGCGCCATACTCTGGCAGATGTGATGTTCGCGGTAGTCTTCGTCAGGAAGGCTGACATTTCAACTCGCGACATCTGCAATGGTTTCGGGGAGCTTTTCTTCCAGTTTTCCATGAACGCGGCATTTTTCTTCCCTTACCTCGGACCTCGATTTTTATATACATTCTGCGGCCTCAGACATGAACTCACAAAATGTTTCCTGCCGTCATGTCTCGTTGCGAAGCAATGCATTTCGAGGCTTTATATTGTTCTTTAGCCTACCTTTCATTCGCTTACGGTGAGTCAGATCGATACCCCAATAGATCAACCCCAATCGATTTGCATTTATGCCTTTGTCTTTCCATAATTGTTTGGACTTGGCTTATTTATACCTCACCATTTCCCCTTTACGGTGAATCTCGTGCTGACAACCGGCCGAAATCCCGCGCCATCCAAGACTGACCTCTCCGGTACGCGTCCACGTGGCGCCTGGCCCGATCTTCACCCAAGCGGCGGACACCATCGGCGCGCGGGCGTTCGCGCATCCCGGCGCGCACGCGCGTGTGTCCGTGCGCGTGTGGTGTCCAGAGCGGACGTGTCAACAGACGGCCGGGCGGGCGGCGGCCGCCTGTCTGCGGCCGCGGCCCGCCCCGGCCGGAGGGGCGCGCCGCCGGCCGGTCGAGGGCGGCATGTTCCGGCTGGTCGGCCGGGTAGCCCTGGCCCTCTGGCAGCCCGCCCACTTCGTGTGCCGGTGGGTGAGCGGCCGCCGTGGCGCGCGGCGGTGGCGTGGGACCCGCGGCGGCGGGGCGGGAGCTGGCGGCAGTGTGTTGTGTTCGGAGTGGTGGACGCGTCCCAGGAGTGAGGCGTGCAGTTGGCAGTGCAGTGCTCGAGATGCTTGTGGTGAAGTTCGTGAGTGACCCAGCTCTCCGAGGCATGCTGGTGCGCGCCCTTGGCTTCGGGACCGGGGGCCACCATCGGGTGGCACGAAAGCCGGGCTTTCGACCCTTCGAGAGCCCCGCCTCGCTCCGCCGCTGCAGCAGTGCCTGTTTGGCGGCTGCAGCTCTCCGCCGGCTCCACGTGGCGGCCCCCGCCCCGCCCCTCCCCGCGCCTTCCCCCGCCGCGCGGAGTCGCCCCCGGGCGCTGTGGCCGTCTCGTCCCCCGATTTCGGCCGGCACGCCGGCTGGCGGCGTTCCGTCACGCCGCGGGTTACCATGGTGTTTGCACGGCGCGGCGGCTGCCTGGTGCCGTGCTCGGGACGCTCGGCGGCCGACCCGGGCCCCGCCATGCGCTCAACACTAACAGCGAGGGGCGCCGGGCGCGCGCTGGTCGGCGCGCGCCCGGCGCTGATCGGGGCGCGCCCGGCGCTGATCGGAGCGTGCTCGCTCGCCGCCGGCCTGGTAAACACGGCGGCGTGCGCTGCCCGAAGGTGTGCGCGACGCTTAGACGCTTGGCGGGGGGGGGGGGGGGGGGCGTATAGAGAGGCCCTCGGATTCACAGGCGATTGCGCTGCGCCCCGGGCCGGCAGTGTGCCTGGGAGATTGTCGTCATGTTCAATGGGAGATTGTCGTCATGCCGCTGTTGTTTGGGCTCTGTTCTGTTTCCACCGCCCGGGTTCACCTAGCACCGCGGGGAGTGCTGGTATGGTCTGTTTTGGGTTAAACCGACGGATATTGTCCGTGTGGGAGGCGAACGTTTCGCGACCTTCTAACGGCAAACGGTATCAGATTGGGCTTTGTTGTTGAAGCTATCGTGAACGTGCTGGAGAGTCTAGGAAATGTGCGTGTACACTGGCTTTGCATGCTTAGTTATAAGGCGTATTACGTGTGGAATGCGTCGGTTATTTTAGCGTGTATTCATCGTTATGCTAGTTCGTCCCGTTGCTGTCTAGTCCACGCCGGTCGGTCGTATGGTACGTGTGGCGTCGTCCGCTCGCCTGGCGCTCGTCCCCGGCTCAGCGCCGCTGCCGCCCTCACCACACCCCCGCCGCCCCCCTCACCGCGCCGCCGCCGCTGCCGCCCTCTCACCGCGCCGCCGCCGCCGCCTCCTTACCGCGCCGCCGCCGCCGCCGCCGCCGCATCCTCCTCCCTACCGCGCCGCCGCCGCCTCCTCCCGCGCCGCCGCCGCCGCCGCCGCCGCCGCCGCCGCCGCCTTCTCATGCCACCGCCGCCGCTCTTCCAGGACCGAGTCATCCCGCACGGAGACGAGCGTCTCCGAGAAGGACAGCGTGCCCAGCGATGAGGAAGAGGAGGAGGAGGAGGAGGAGATCCTCGGCTCGGATGACGACGAACAGGAGGCGCCGTCCGACTACAAGCCCGGTGAGTGCGCGCGCTCGGCCGCGGCGCGGGGTGTAGCTGAGGGTCCTTGTTCTCTGGTACCGATCGGGGACGTCATGCCTGAGGGCTGTTCGCCCCGGACCAGGGCGGCTGGAGCGCACAGACCTGGTGACGGTCGTCTCCACCCTTGCCCCGTCGAGGTGCTTGTTTTTATTGGAACTAGTGCGTGCGTTTGTCAAGCCCGGCTCCTCGGACCAGAACGCCGCTCGCTGCACACGCACGTCCACTGGCAAGTGTCAAAGCGAAACTGCAACTGACACTGTGTTTGAATCGCAGCGCATTGCTTCATAAGCTGTAAACCACCACTTTGCCGAGGATTGTAAGCTTAAATCATTAATTGAAGGGGATGTTTCACATTTGAAGATATTGAAAAAAAACATCAGAGTTGATGTAATAAGCTCACTTTTAGCTATGGGCGTACTTTAAAGGCGGAAAAACTGCTCTGGACAACAAAAATCGTGTATTTAGTAGATATGCCCTGCCATACGTCATTGTGTGATAGCAAAGTAACGTACACTTGAATTGGGAGCTCGCACTGTATTTGTACACGGGCTTTGAGGCACTGCCACCTATGGACTTGAAGCAGATTTGATTTTCCTTATTATCTGTCCTTTTCCTTGCATATCGTTGGACATTACTAACTCCTCGATGATGTATCAACAACTTGTAGTGGACATTCATTAAAAGCGATTGTAAAAGGAGAGTGGCTCATTGAGATGCATAGTTAATGGTCAAAGGGCGTGGGTTCGCACTTCATATGCTTTATTCAACGATCATCGCAAATTTTGACATCATTTGATCATCGCCACATATTTTGACCGTGCAGCCAGTCAAATTTTTATATTTGATAATATTTGACATATTGTAACAGGTTGGTCGCTAATGTCTCGATTGGACAGAAAACGCTGGGACTAAAATATTCCCACGTATTTGATATAATGGTTATTATGGATGCCTTTCTGCCGGGTTACGGCAGTTTCAGGCGGCAAAATCTGACAGATGATGCACCACTGGTAGATAAGATCGCAACATGCCTAGCAGATATGTGTCCATCGGATAGATGCAGTTAACTGATCTGGAGATGATAGACAAAGTATAACAGGTCATGCCGCAGCCGGGTGTCTGTTTCGAGTTTTGTGGAATATCCCGGAGCTCCCGTGCCTCATGCGTCAGTCTGGTATGTGACGGGCCATGCCATAGCGGGATGTGTTTGCTCGGAGCCGCGAACGATATGCGGGAGCTGTGTCCGCCCGGGAGGACGGTCTGTCACGTGACCGGCCGTTCAGCTGCCCGGCGTGACCCGCCGCGGCCGCTCTCTGCCGTGGCCGCGCGCACCACCCAAGATAGAAAATCGATGTCACCCCGCCGGGTTGGACACAGTCGGGATCGCTCCCGCTCCTGGTGGGAAGAGGTGTCGGATGAGGGGAGCCTGCCTAGCACTCATTGTTGGTGATGAGGATGGGGGAAGGTTGGGCGGCAGGAGACCGCTGATAGGGGGCGGTTATTGCGGAAATCGTCTCGCGACATTTTGTCTCTTCAGTGAAATCGTCTGCAGTCGTTTACTCTGAAGCTGTGCATTCATTCTGATGTGACCTGCTAAATGCAGCGCCGTAGTGTCTGTGTAATGAGATGCGTAGGTCTGGTTCGTCATGTTATTGCACTCCGCAAGTATTATATTAGATGACATCGCATGGCTTTACGTAGCCCTCAAAATGTGAATGGTTTGCTTTTTAATCTCAGATCGACAGATCTTACATTCCACCCCAAGACAGAGCCAAAGTGTCCAGTATTGGACGGCAGCCCTCGCTGGACGTGTGGCAGCGAGCCTGGTTTCCACTCAGGAGGCGCCATCCCGTGACCGTTTATACGCGCTGACTCATACCGTCCGTTGGCCGCTCAGGACTGCATGCTGACGGCAGTCCTCCGTCAGCTGTGTTTTGCAACCGTAATCAGAAGCCGGCATCGTCCCGCTCCCGGGCCGCGTCGCCTGGCCGGGACAGACCGTCCTCGCGGCGACCAGTGCCTGCGAGTGAGCAGCGGGGGGCGGCGCGGGGGCCACCGGTCCGCCGCCAGTGACCAGCGTCATCCGGCGCCGCGCGGACGCCGGGCGGGCCGGCCGCGCGGCTTCGCGCCCCATCCCCGAGCGGGCCGAATCCGCGCCGTCCGACCGACCGCTGCCCCGTCGCGCGGTGTTGGGCCGGCCGAGTCCAGCGACGGCGGCGCGTCCACGGCCGCCGATGGCCTCCCAGCCTCGGTGTGTGTGGTCGGCGGCCGGCCCGCCGCCGCCGAGCGTCTCCGCCGTCTCCGCCGCCGCCGCCGCCGCCGAGGCCGGCCCGCTGGACCCGGGCGCCGACTGGCCGGCGGCCGGCTGGGTGCGCGGCGAGCCTGACGCGCCGCGCCGCCCCGCAGGTGGCTACCACCCGGTGCAGATCGGCGACATGTTCCACGGCCGCTACCACGTCATCCGCAAGCTGGGCTGGGGACACTTCTCCACCGTCTGGCTCTGCTGGGACATCCGGTACGTGTGCTGGTGGGCCGCGACGTCTGCCCTCCGTCTAGCGCGGCTCGGACGTGTCGTAGTTACGCGCGCTGCTTGTAGGAAACGCCTATTCTAGACCACGTAGTGTCGCGGGGTCATGCGGTGTAACGCACTGTCACCGAGAGGTCTAGGCTTGATTTATGCCGAACGCACTCGTGACATAGCGGTACTTTCCCCAGAAGATATTCCGTCGATATCGTCGCATTACGCTGTCCGTGTCTTCAGAATCGTGTGTGGAATGCATAAGTTAACTCCTTCGCAACGTGTGCCTCCATGCGAGCAGCGATTTCAGTTCGCTATGGGCGCTCTACGAGATGATATCAGTTGAATTGGCCGGTTATGAAACGGGCTGCTGGGAGGCTCTACGCTGCCTTTGTCTGCCACTGCGTCTCATTTCCCATCCCCTTCTGAAAGCGACCCCCCCCCCCTCGCAGCCAAAGTCGACCAGCTGACCGGCGCATGACTCACCCGGTTTGTGATGCCATTTGTTGTGTTCCTGACGGCTTCTCTGCCGCAGGGACAAGCGATTCGTGGCGATGAAGGTGGTGAAGAGTGCCAGCCACTACACAGAGACAGCCCTGGACGAGATCAAACTGCTCAAATGCGTGAGTCCCCCCCCCCCCCTCCGCCGCCGGCTGACCGGCTACCAGCACCGCTGCCGTGTGAGCCTCTGGCCCCGGACTCTCGCCTCCTCGCTCTGGTGGGGCCGTTTGGCGCTGGACCAGCGGACGCGCCAGACAGGCCACGTGGTTGGCACGGTGTACGGCGCGCTTTGTTGTGTGTTCTGCGGTGAACCGTAGCGGGGTCCGCTGTTTCGATAGTGGGTTGTGATTGGATCCGCTCTTTCGGGGGTGGGCCGTGTCTGATGGGCTGTTTCGGTGGTGGGCCGTGTCTGATCGGCTGTTTCGGTGGTGGGCTGTGTTGTGTCCACTGTTTCGGCGCTGGGCCGTGGTGGGGTCCACCGTTTCGGTGGTGGACCGTGTTTGGGTCCGCTGTTCCGGTGGTGAGCCGTGTTGGGTCCGCTGACGCAGACTGGGACTGGGGCCTTGTGACGCTCCTCGTCTCGCCGGGCCTCGTTCACAATCGCAGGTGCCGATGTTGCCTCGTCTGGACTTCCATCCACCGAGCGGAAGATCCCAACTCGAGCACGTGTTACTCGGCTGCCAGTGAGCAGCACGATGGTATTGTCCCGTCTCTGCTGGCGTCGTAGAGCCCACCTGCCTGGAGCAGGCAGGCCCTGGACTGTCCAGCTGCCGAGAGCGCACCGTGCCCGGTGCAGCCGCCAATGCGACCGCGTCTCTCGCCGCCGCCAGGTCCGCGACAGCGACGAGGACGACCCGTTCCGGGAGCGCACCGTCCAGCTGCTCGACGACTTCAAGATCAACGGCGTCAACGGCACGCATGTCTGCATGGTGTTCGAGGTGCTGGGCCACAACCTGCTGAAGCTCATCATCCGCAGCAACTACCAGGGCATTCCGCTGCCGAACGTCAAGTCCATCGTCAAGCAGGTGCGTGTGCCGGACGTCTGGTGGGACGCGAACGGTGGAAAATCATTTTTACGTTGGCCGTCTCACATTCCCAGTCTTCGTGAGGGGAAACTGTCTTCGAGGTATTCGCTGTCATGAGAGCGCTCATCTTGCAAGCAAACTCCCCGGGCACAGTTTCTTCTCACGCGCGCAGCATGGCTGCACTGCCACACATACACACGTGACCTTCGTGCAAATACTCTGCCCTGTGCTCATGAGCTCGGTAACGCGGTTGGCTAATGCGCGTGTCAGGCAGGTGGGGGGGTCTCGCCTCCGGTCCAAGCCTGACCACGGCAGGCTTTTCCCCGACCTATCCCCGCCCGCTAGATGGCACCGACTGGAAAGGGGCCGACGCGATGCTATGCTGGGGGTGCTGGCGGCGTCAGTCAGGTCCCGCGTCACGGAGTCGTCGCGCGTGGTCTGCCTTTGAATGAGCCGTTGGGCTCGGTGACTGAGCCCGAGGCCGCGGCCTGACCCCCCCCCCCCCCCCAGCCACCTGAGTGGTCGGCTGCTCACTAAGCACGCGGATTGGAGGGGACATATATGCATACATGTTACGGTGTGGATGCTGACAGCGAGCGAGTGATCGAGGCCGTGACGCAAGGACGCCGAGAACGAAACCCCCATACCGTTAAACCACTACGTTACATAAAATACCGACGGAGGGGCGCTAGCTCCTCTGAACACTCCCCCCCCTTCCTTCCCACACACACTTTGAACGTACCGTCTCCATCTATTAGCTGTCCTTCGGCTCATCCTGCCGGTGGTGTGAGCTGTCGCTGTTTGGCCGCAGGTGCTGGAGGGACTCGACTACATGCACACCAAGTGCAAGATCATCCACACGGACATCAAGCCCGAGAACGTGCTGCTGTGTGTGGACGAGGCGCACGTGCGCCGGCTGGCCGCCGATGCCGCCCAGGTCCAGAAGATGGGACTCAAGCTGCCCGGCTCGTTCAGTGAGTGGCGACGGCCGGACGGCGCGTCCAGTGGCGCTTTCGGCGGCGGCGACGCAGGATTAGTGGCGGCTGGTCTGCTATCCCGACAGGTTCGGCAGCCGCGTTGGAGCTGGAGTGTGGAGCGCAGGGTCCTGTGCTTGCATTCGACGGCATCGTAGCCATGCATGGATGTGCCACTAACCTTGTCTCGTTTGTGATGTCACAGTCACCAGTGTCACCCATGGGCTGTCTTGCGCACCTTCGGCGGCTCTGTGACCGGAGTCGCTCTTTCCGCAGTGGCGACGGCGCCCAAACATCTGCAGCAGCCCGACCCGGCCACGCTGTCCAAGAACAAGAAGAAGAAGCTGAAGAAGAAGGCCAAACGGCAGGCGAAGCGCCTCGAGCAGATGGCCGAGCTCACCGAGCAGTGGGAGAAGGAGCAGGCGTCGGCGGCCGAGGGCGGCACAGTCTCCTCCGCCGCCGGCGAGACGCCGACCGCCGCCGCCGCCGCCGCCGCCGCAGAGACGCCTGCGCAGGCGCCGACCGGGACGAACGGCACCCAGGAGAACGGAGACGCGTCGCAGAACGGCGACGACGACGGCTCTGAGACGCCGCGGGAGAACGGCGAGGAGACGCCGCGGGAGAACGGCACGGCGGAGACGCCGCCGGAGGAGACGCCGCGGCAGGAGACGCCACCGGAGGAGACGCCCCGGGAGGCGGCCGACGTGGGCGCCGCCGCCGAGAAGGTCGCCGAGCGGAAGCGCGACTCAGAGCCGAGCCGGGACCGTCAGAAGGGCGGCGCCAACGGCGAGGCCGCCAAACTGGGTGAGAGCGGCGGACGGCACTGCCGTGAGATCGCTCTCGCCAGCCGCTCACAGGGGACGCGAGAAGCGTGGGTGTGAGATCGTCGCGCGACGTGGAGTGGTGTGGGCGGTGGATGGCTGACTCGGGCTGACCCGCGGCCGGACGGGCCTCGTTCTGTTTTGCGCCGGTAACAGGTTGTCGTGCGCTGTCTAGTGTTTTGTCCCCGCGAAACGCTGCGGTGAATGGATGTTTTGTCCGTTAATGTTGTTTTGCGCTTTTGACTTCATTCTCAATGTGAGCCAAGCTGTCCCATCTACCTCAGGCATTGCGGACAACATGCTTCTCCTAGCCGTGCTGCCATTGAGGCCATGGCTGCTGGCCGCGCCGTTGTATCCTAACTACCCTAACGCTGCGCACGAGCACCCTGTTTGCCTCCGGGCCGTGCCACCTTTCCGTCGTGAGAGCCTCCCTCTGCTCGCAGCGAACCGCCAGAGCCTGGCCAACATGGAGGTGGCGCTGGTGGAGCACTCGGGCGTGGGCGAGACGGTGACGCTGCCGTACGACCTGGAGCCGGCGGCGACCGAGGCGTGCAACGGTCACGGCGGCGGCGCGGCGCCGGCCGAGGGCGAGGCGCCCGAGGAGGCGCCGGCTGCCGCCGTGGCCGGCCAGGCCACTGACGGTGAGGACGGGACCCGGCCGCGCGCCGGCCGGGTCCGGGCCGATGCGGCTGGTGTGCGGGCTTGGTGTCGTCAGTCCTGCCCTGCCTTCCGGTGTCCTGTCTCAGTGCACTATCCCCTGCTCTGCCGCCGCGCTTCACTAACGCGGACGAACTGGCGGTGCTCCTGTGAGTCCCATTGGACCGCCCCTGTTTTCCGTCATGCCCGTGCATTTCTACAGCCCGCCAGTGTCGTGGACCTGTCCAGTACCAGCGTGATCCTGCCGAACCGTACCTGGATCATGTCAAACCCGCCAGTGCGTTGCTCTGCATCCTACCACCCCGCCGCTTCGTCCCCACATGCCTCTGATCTGCCCCCATCCCAGCAGTCGGCCGTTCCGTCCCCGCGTCCCACCCGAGTCCTCTGACCTGTCCTGTGACCCGACCAGTGCCGGCGGCGTCGGCGGCGACGGCGCCCTCTCCGCCGGCGGCGGCGGGCGCCTCCCGCTCGGACTCGGCGCTGGCGCTGCTGGTGGCGCGGCCGCTCCAGCCGCAGGATACGTGCGGCGATGGTGCGCAGGTCGACGACGACGACGACGACGACTGGGTGGACGTGGACGAAGGTCGGACGTGCTCCCGTCGCGTTTGTCGTCCGCCCGGGGAGGGGAGGGGGGCGCGGGGGCAGCCTGCGGGTTGGAGTGAGGATAGACCCCTCCTGTGTAGGAGGGGCCGCAGAAGTGCGAGGGAGCGGCTGGCGTAGTGCTTTTCCGCTGGAGCCGATGGATGGCACTGGTGTCCCTCGACTCTGTTGTGAGCCGCACAGCTGCTGCTGCCACGGGCGGCAGCGTCGCAATTTGTCCTGCCGGCTGGAACCGGGCGCCTGATAACGGCGGCGCCAGTGCGTATCGAACCCACCAGTTCGAACCCTGAGGTAGCGTCGAAGCGTGGCGGGCTTGGGGGACGTCGGCGCACCGCGACTAACAGCGGACAGAGCTGCCGCCTGCGGTCGCGAGGCAGACGCATGGCTGGCCTCCGGGTGTGGACAGGGGCGGGGCTACCTAGCGGTGGGTACCGTCCGGGGCCCGGGCGGCCGGGATGCCCCTCTCGTGATGGAGCGGCGGGGGATGCGCCCGGCGCCGTGGCGGGGGACGGCACGCGACTCATCGTGTTGCTGAGTGCCTGCGACGCCCGCCGCCCGGTCCTCCGTATCCCGACGCGGTGCAGCGGCGGGCGGGGCGAGCGTGACGTGCAGCCGGCCCGTGTCCCCAGACGACGACAGTGACCTGGACCTCCCGTCCGTGCCCGTTCCCATGTCTCCGTCGTGCGGCCCGTGGGGCGGCCCGCCCGGCTCGCCCGGCGAAGTGGTCCTGGACCGAGGTACGGCCTTCTGGTGGCCGGCGGAAAGCTGGGTCGCCGCGGCCGTGCTCCTCACGAGCTACCTCTGCTGCTGGGCCGCGACCGACGCACCGCGCACGCCATAATCTTGGCAGAGGGAGTTTGTCGGTGATCCCTACGCGTTGTTGGTGATGCGACTCTCTACGTGATGCGACTCTCTGCGTTGTGTTTCGCGTGGGGGCCATTGTTCTCACGGGCGGAATGATGGTTCTGTCATCCTCGTCTGCTGTATTAGTGTGTAGTGTACGAGCAATGACTAAGACAGCAGACGGGGAAGATAGTTCGAACAATTATCCCATCCCGAGATTGATGCATGGCCTCCATCCTTCCTTAATGCTGTGCTCGCTGTTCTGTGCTCGGCCGTGTCGGCAGTCTGTCCCGCGAGCCACTTGCATACAATTCCCGTCCGTCCTGTACGGACGAGAGCAGCCGTGTTGTGCTTGATGCCGTGCCGAACGGGTGGCGTGGCCGTCCGCTCGCTCCGGCCCCTCGCGAGCTCCCCCAGCCGGCACGCGAACCCCGCTGACCGCTGGTCGCCGTCCGCAGACGCGGCGCCGCCCAGCGCTGGCGGCACCGCGCCCGCCAAGAAGCCCGATCCCGTGCACGAGGTGTGCGAAATGAAGGTGAAGATCGCTGACCTGGGCAACGCCTGCTGGACGGTGAGTAGGGCGCTCGCGATGGGCCCGCTCTGGGTGCTAGTCTTCAGTTTCGGTGTTTTCGGTTGGGTAACGTTGATGGCGGGGATTACGCTGTCGCCAGTTTGAGCTCCAAACCATTCTTTTGGGCCACTTTTGTCATCGTAGTCTGTTTTGTCGACCAGTGAGAAGTGGTGATGTTCCCAGGTTGACGTGTTACGTTAGCCAAGGGGCCTAGCTGGCTCTGGCCCTCTCCGTCATGTTATTACACAATCGTGCCGCGCGCCGCAGCATTGGCCTGTGCCTGCCGCCATCTCCTCGGCGGCAAGGCCGACCGCCGCTCGTACACAGTACCGGCGCCGCTCCGACACTGCGCTGACCCGCCCGCCCCGCCTCTGCCGGCAGAACCACCACTTCACGGAGGACATCCAGACGCGCCAGTACCGCTGTCTGGAGGTGCTGCTGGGCGCCGGCTACGGGCCGCCGGCCGACATCTGGTCGACGGCCTGCATGGCGTTCGAGCTGGCCACCGGCGACTACCTGTTCGAGCCGCACACTGGCAACAACTACAGCCGCGATGAGGACCACATCGCGCACATCATCGAGCTCATGGGCGACATACCCAGGAAGATCATGTTCAATGGCAAATACTCGCGCGACTTCTTCAACAAGAAAGGTGGGAGCGGTGTGGTCGGTGGAGAACAGCGGTTGGTGCTCGTGCTGACGTGTGCCGTTTTTAAGTTGTTTTTTTTTGCCCGTTTCGGCGCGAGCACTTAAGACAGAAACAATTAAGTGTTGGTGATTTGACGTGAATATTATTCGTTGACTTGCACGCCTTTGTTGCCATGTAGTACTGCCTCTTCGGCCGTCTTGGTCTCACCTGTCCCAATTGGTTTGCTCGTGCGATCCGTAGTTTCGTCTCCCCTCCTTCGTTGGCGCCGATCTTCTGACGCCTCGGTAACCTCCTTCGACTCCTGTTACCTCCGATCCCCGCCGGCACCGGACCAGTGACCCGCCGTGACCCGCCGCTGATCCCACCCCGTCCGGCAGGCGAGCTGCGCCACATCACCAAGCTGAAGCCGTGGTCGCTGCACGAAGTGCTGCAGGAGAAGTACGAGTGGCCTGAGGCCGATGCGGTCGCCTTCGCCGACTTCCTGCTGCCGATGCTGCAGTTCGACCCGGAGCGGCGCGCCTCGGCGGCCACCTGCCTGCGCCATCCTTGGCTCTTGTGACCTGCGCGGCGCCAGACGGCCCACCGCCCGGACGGCCCATATTTTTTGTACGCCGAGCGGCCTCCGGGTAGGGCGCGCGGCCGCGGCGCGCCAGCGCGCGCGCGCGAGGGGCGCGACCACGTGCTGGGAGCGTGACGCGCGTCGCGAGGAGCGCGGCGTGACGTGCATGACGCGACGTGACGTGACGTGGCGTGACGCTACACGACGCGACGCGACGCGACGCGGCGCAGCGAATGGGCGTGCAGGCCCAGGCTCGCCGCGGGAATTCAGTTGCATGAGTTCGATAATGGACGATCGGTCGCCGCACGGGCGGGGGCGACGCGGCACCTCATCCGGCGTCGAGCCACGCCGAGCTGTCCTCTGGGTACGTCGGTGTACACTTCGGTCGGCTGTTCTATCCTTCACGACTGGTTCACGTTCTGTTTAGTTGCCGCTTGATGGATCCGAATCAGTAGTTTAATATAAGTTTCGATTCCGAAGGAGGTGTTTGTGTTTGGAAGCAAGCTATTGGCACAACCAGCGGCGGGAAACAGGTCATTTTCAGCGGAATTTCGCCGTACAGGGACAACGTAGCGTGGCTTGCGGCTTGGAGGCCTGGCCGCCCATAACTCATGGGTGCGAGCCTCGCACCGACCTGATGTTTCGTCGTTAGCCACGTCTGTGAGTGGTCATCAGAGAGATCGGTGGGGCATGTCGTTGATAAATGACAAAGAATAGTCGAATGCGTCGTTTAATTACCCAAAAGTAGCCGTTTGGGGGGGGGGGCGGAGCTGTAGCTCGGCGTCCGCGTGGGGCTGGCCTCAGAACTCTGGCCGGGGTTCCGAAGCTTAATATATACTCGACAGGTGTGGTCACAAGGATACGCCCGACATGCTTACTCGACATACATAGATAAGATACGCTCGACAAAGTTTGGCCGCCTAATAGTCCGGCCAGTGGTGTAACACCCAGCATGCGTTGTGCGCCTACTGGTTCGTGTTGATAATTTAGGGAAGATGAGACTAGCAACGCTTACACCACGGCACCAAAACCGTGCCATCTCTTACCTTATGTACGCGATGCCCACGTAGCGAAAGGTACGCCATTATCACAAGGATCAAAACCTTAGTGCCGGGTAACCCTGCATGCATGCCTCGGAAATAACATTTTGTAACAGATCCAAATTTGGAAATGTGACATTTGGGGTGAAATATTCAGGCGCCGCGAAGCAGGCAAATGCCAACTTTTCCTCAATGGAAGGGCAAAAGTCATTTGTTTGAATTCCTGGCACTTGGAATGGAATTCCTGCGAAATTACTCTGTATCTCTAGCAAAAACATCGTGGCTCGTGTAGGCAATGGCTCTAGCCCCCCCCCCCCCCTAGGTACGTCCGTCCCGTGAGGCGCGTGTGGAACCCACGCAGATATTTGGCAGCACTCTAAAAATGGCCGCCGCCAGCTAGTTTTTGCATGCCTTATCTATGCCACGCAGTAGCATCCATTCACTGCTGGATTGTTCCATAGTTTCTGACACAACCCCATCCCTCTCCCAATGTTAAAACGCTCATCCGTAGGTGAGGGGCCGGCCATTCCGGGTTTGCCCAAGATAATGTATTGGTATTCACAGCAAGACATGTGAGGGTGGCACGCATCAGAACCTTTTCTTATATATCAAAATTTATAGTGCTTGTAGGTAAACGATACCAAAATGATTGGAACCATTGAGGGTGGAGATGTGGGTGGGGAGAATCCCCTCAATTTTCAAAAAAAGGGACATTTCAAACTTGCGTGTTTGCCAGGGGAACGCACACTTTCTACATTTTCCTGTTGAATTTTCAAGTCAGCTGCCCCCTCGATTCCAGTCTAACACCTGTAATGACGATTGATAACCTCCAATCTCAGATGCGGATACACTGTTGCACTGACTGCTTTGAATCCCCAGATAGCCAGATGTCCCGGGCCCGCAACCGCTGCGGAGAAAGATCGTTGAGAGAGCGGATTGCTGCATTTGGTAGGGTCGGTCCGATTTAGCTGCACGTGCTTTTCTATATCTGTCTCACACGCGCATGAATTGAGCATTGATGACAAAATAAGCGCGCAAGCACATAAGTTGCGCCCTGGACCGCGTATGTGGGGATAATGGCTCAAGCTGTTCGGCCTATGTTGGTTCACAGCGTTTTAACAAGCTCGGGGAATATGCGTCAATTACTCAAGAAGGTAACAACGAAATTTCCGTCTTTTCTCGTGTGCCTTTTGGTCGTGTACTAGTGCTTAAACATGATAGACCTCCTGGATCCTGGGCCTCGTTTTGAAACCATCCAATAACTTCATGCCACATGTTGGTGCATGCTGAATCCGTCACCATAATTTTAGGCACAGTCTTAATTCTTGCAGTATTTTTTTTAGAAAATGCTAGGGTGGAAACTGGTTCTTTCTGAACTTCTGATGCACTGGATCATTTTGCATTAATTCTGGTTCCTGGCTGCTTCATGGTTCAAGAACTGGGCACCATCTCCAACAGATAGCTATTGGGAACTAAATTGAGGTGTGGAAAACGTGATACATCACTGGTCATGGGCATCTTTATTTTTTTATTGTCATAGCAAAGGCTCATTTGTGATCCAGCACCTGGCCTGAGAAGCTAAAAATGAGTTGGTGCAAATATAATGTGGTATGTTCATGGGCAAATTTTTGACTGAATTCTGTGTATGAGCATTTAGTTTTAATGGATCACAAGCTCAGTCATGGGGGATCAATGGAAGATTCTAAACCATTTGCATGTGCATGCCATTTTCCACCTTGATCTGAAAGTTATGTTTTTCATTTGGAGCATCAAGTCTTCTTGATAGCACTTTGAATATCTTGTCTACTTGCCAGCATCTCCTGGAGCAGTGAGGACCGGAGACTGCTATTGTGTGCAGTGCTGTCATTGAAAACCCTAGGCTAATTTAATTTACCTTGAAATGGCCCATTTGGTACTGTGCAAGCTAAAAGAAAGAGTTGATGGAAGGTTATATCATATGTTTAATAGCTCTGTGATTCTCCTGACATTGCCATTAGTGTGCATTTGCAGCTCTGGCCTGTGGGTGCTGTGAAGTGCATAGTACTGCTCTATACATTCTTGTGATTTAATTTTTGTTTTTGTTTTGAATGGATGGATTGCTGAGGCTGGCTTGCAGCTGGATTGCTCACACTAGACAGTGCTTGTTATGCGAACCCTGACCACTGCCATCCGATCATGAAATTTCAAATGAACAGCAGAGTTTGATAACAAAATTTTAATGTGCCACAATTCTGGGCACAGTCTGTCCTGCCCCCTGATGCCACTGGAACCATTTGCATGACCACTGCCACTGCCCTGAGGACATATCAGTCAAAGGCAGCTAACAAGTGCCCAAAGTGACTGGAACCCAGTCCACCACAGGTGGGTGGATTGGAAGGCAGGTGCTCTAAACCAACCAAGCTTTCAGGACAGACATATAGCATTGGCATGTCCTGAAGCTACCTAATACTTCCTGACAATACATGCAGTCCAGACAAAAATTAGTTTGCTTGTTACATTTGTTGTCAAGAATAAACAAAAAGTGCAGTTGAACTGACAATCTGTATTGACAGATGATGTTCTCTCACTCTCAGAAGCTGATGTGCCAAATGTTCAGCCATAGTGCATACCCATCCAGGGTATCATACTGTGTCAGCCTCGTAATGAAAAGGGCATGCTCTACACAAGCTGCTGCTCCAGAGAAAGTTAAAAATGCTACTAAAGCATTTGAAAACCAAGAGGAAAAGTGTGATGAACAGCAACATTGTGATGAACATGATGGCTATGACAGTCCAGCCAAAGAAGATGGAAAAAAGGCAAAGCGGACTTATAAGAAGAAAACAAAAAAAGAAATTCTAGCTGATCATGTCTCCCAAGAGCCAAGGGCTGTGCAAGATATATTGCATCAGTATAGTGATCAACTGAATTGCCGGAAGCAGGACCCAGGGATGATGTACATCATCAACAATGCCATAGCTGGTGAGCACTGTTTCTGGTAGTTTATGATTGTTATATTGTATTTGAAATTGTAAATATAATTACGATGACCAGCAAGCCGTGAGCAATGCACAGGTGGGGTGTGACAGGACTATCGGGCGAGATGAGATGCGATGAGAAGGTGAAGATTGGATAAAAATTTTCAGGTGTAAGCCATCTTTGGATCATAAGTATGGGTGAAGGAATGTAGAGAACTGGGTCTAGTGAGATCGAGGCAGACGCCAAAGGTCATGTCTTCTTTGGGGCTGTCTGAGCATCGCATCTATGCCTGGTAAATGACACCTTACATCCAACTAGCATTCTGCCTGCTTAATGAAAGTGGTGAACCAGAAAAGTGATCACAGCTAAGGTGAAAAGCATCATAGTCGTGTTGTTACTTTTTACATGTCAGGAAAAGGTCGTTTGCAAATTGTTGCGGCGTGGTTACGCGATTGTAATACTATGCTTGTGATTTAAATCGCTTTCCGTCGAATCCGATTTAGATGCTCAGTACTTCAATCTCAACCTTCATGTACAATTATTGCCTGTCGGGTCAGCGTGGCGTCCGTTTCCAACTCGAGTGGTCGTGAGCGCCGCCCGCCGTCGCGTCCGGCCGTGCCGCTGGTGACGCTGGTGCCGTGGTCCGTCCCCAGACCGGCTCGTGCAGAGCCTGGACCCGGGCGAGCACCATGTGCCGCACCTGGAGCTGGGCCCGGGCCCGGGCGTGCTGACCCGCCGCCTGCTGAGCGCCGGCGTGCGTCACATCACGTGCTTCGAGCCGGCCGCCGCCTTCCGCAGCAGCGTGCTGGTGGGTTATGTGCGGCTACTGGGACAGGCGCGCGGCGGGGATCTGAAGAGCCTGGAGGGGCCGGGATATCGAAGCGTTTCGTTAGGCGTGTGGTACACATTCAGTGTATGGTACCCAGTGGCAGGACTTTGGGTCCTGCCACCCCGAGGGTAGATCATATCACCAGTCATGTGTCTGCTGGCTGGTCTGAGACTTACGGTCGTCTCGCCTTGACGCGTGGGGGAGGCAGGGGGCGGTGCAGTGACAACCTGCTACTGGCTGACACCGCAACTGGTCAACTGACAGCTGATAATGGTCAGTCAGCCGACGGCGACACCCGGTACCGGCAGGAGCTGCAGGAGGAGACGGGCGGCGCTGTCCGACTGACACCGCTCAACTTGCTACAACTGCCCAAGATGTGGGGCGCGGCGACGCACGGCCAAGAGGCGCGGCTGCAGCAGGCACTGGATGGCCTAAGCTGGCGCCCCTGGCACCAGGGTCAGTGACGAGGGGGAGGGGGGGAACTAGTCGTGGTCAGCCCTGGTGTCGTCGGGAAGGGTGGGAGAGGGCTTGTGTGAGATGGAGCGCGGACGAGATCGTCCGTCGGAGCTTGCAAGTCGAGTTATAGCTTGGTGGTCGAGTTTCTGATAGGTGTGGGGAGACAGTGAGGCAGCAAATATGCTTGGAAGACATGCAGTGCATTTGCTCACGTCTGTCCACAACCCTCACACCTTTGTGTGTTCAAAGACGGCTCTATTCGACGTGCGATGGCTGGTCGCACCAGCGAGGTAGGTGAACATGAACTCGTCCCGGACCTGCTGCGTTGGAGCCATGACCCTCGATCCCCGCCCCGCTAACTGCCGGCCCGGTCCCATAGGGCCCTGCCTGCGCGTGGTGGGCGTGGCACACCGCAGCACGTTCTTCCGCTACCTGGTGCGCACGGTGGTGGAGCGAGAGCACCTGTTCCAGTTCGGCCGACCCGAACTGGTCGTGTATGTGCCCAGCTCCGAGGTCGAGGTGAGCCTTGTGGGGGGGGGGGGGGGGGGGGGATACCCGCCGTGAGGATGCCTTTGTCCGACTTTGTGTTGAAGGACCCGGGATCGAATCCCACGCGCTCCGGACATATTTCACTGACGCCGCCATGACCGGTGGCGCAGGAGGTGGCGGCGGCGTTGACGTAGCGGCGAATGCGTCGACAAGAACATGACTGGAAGGGCGCTCCTTCGATTCGTGTGTTAGAATGCAGCTGGTCACACCGTGGTACCAGCTGTAAATCGGACCTGTAGCCGCCGTCAGTGAGGCAAGCATGCCAGCAGTGGAGGAGGCGTCGCTCGGTTGCGTTTTGAACGTCGGTCACCGTGCAATACGGGAAGATGTCTGCCAAACGGTGCATAAGTGTTGGGGCTGGTCCCCGGCCCCACTGAAGTACGTTGGCAGCACAACCGCTCTGCGGCGTACTGTTACTACCAGTCGGCTGGGTTCGCGTGTAAAAGGCCAGTCACAGAGCTATTAATCGAGTTCTGTCCGGCCAGTTTCGATGAATCTGGCACCAAAGAAAGGTTGTTCAGTGTCTCTACGCCATTCCGTTGACTTTTTTTTGTCTGGAGACGCTAGGCTCTTACGACGTACCAGGTCAAATTCTTCGTGAACGGTGCTCCGTGAATTTTCCGACATTCGCGGTGAATACGATGTTTCCGTAGCTCAAACGGTAACGCGCTGGCTACTTGATCAGAAGGTTGTGTGTTCGAAGGTGGAGCGTTTCGGAGGTTTTCAACCTGTTTTCCATAGAATATGCTTATTTGTTTGTCATCAGCCAATACATGCTGTCAGTAAAATTTGGTGTGCAGCTCCTTGAGGGCTTCTTGCAAAAGTCTGGGCACGACATTCATTCAGATTTGGGATACATTCAGTGTGGCACTTTCATGCTACCTTAAGTCACCGGCTGCCGAATAATTTAGTTTAAACTAGGAATCTAGTCTACACCGCATATCTAGTGTATTTCTAGTTTGGTACGGGAGATTTGTTTACTAAACTTCGTTCTACCTGATATTTATTACTTTGGCTGGTCCCGGCTTCTGTAGCTGATGTTAGAATTCCGTCGTCGCCCTTGTGGTGTTGGCAGCCTCAGTACCGCCGTGGTGTGCCAGTGCTGACTAATTGTGCGTCGACCCTCTCAACAGAGGCTGACCTCGTCCCCTGACATGAGCGGCCGGGCGTACCGGCCGTACAGCATCCTCAGCCAGATTTTTTTCGACCTGGAGCTGCTGCGCCGGGTCCCGGCCAAACACTTCTACCCCTGGATGATGGCGCGCAAGCGGGTCAGTACTGCGACGGCTGCGGCCGCGACTGCCGCAAGAGGTGTGCTGGCCTGGCATGTCGCGTCCGCGCCGATGATTGGAGCCGGCCGCGTGGTCGCCGTGGCGATGCCCAGCCGCTCTCTGCCGCGTGGACTGACTGCCGTCCTGCCGCGTGCCGTCGCCGCCGTCTGACCGGCTGGTGGGCCTCAGGTGTCCTTCACCGACATGGACATGGTGCTGATCCGGTACACGCCCAAGGTGGACCCCGGCCTGCCGGACTCGGAGCTGCCCAACCTCGACTTCTTCATCCGCCACTGCACCGTCTCGAAGAGGAGGCGTATCGTCCCGCAGCTTGAGTGAGTGCCTGAGCAGTGCGGCTTGAGTCGGTGTGTGATGGGGCGGGCGCCAGGTCACTGGAGACTTTCCAGGCGCCGTCGACGAGTCTTTGTCATGCGCGACTGAAGCTCTACCGACCTATGCATGAGCTATTCTATTAAGATGTGTTTATTTAGTGAAGTTAATTAGTGTCGTTCAATATTTACGACATTATGTAGAAGCAAGGGTTCTAGATTCGCACACGTATTCCAATGGAGTTCGGCTTTTGTGAGAGAAGATAGATTCAGTCGTCTGAGCGCTTTGATCTCGGACAGGACGTTTGCCTGTCTAAAAACTGCTTCCATTTTCTTAACGACCGTGCAAACGGGGAGACGGAAGCCGGCAAAACAGGCCGGGGAGGAGCTGGAGCCGGACTGAATGAGGTTGTGATAGCGGCAGGAAGTTTACTGGCTGTCTGTGTAATGCGCGCTCATGCTTGATTGAAATCGGCGTGTTTCTGCGCAAGTTCACGTGCTTTATGTCGTACTTGTTATGACATTGCGTGCTGATGCGCTTCTCGGTTTGATCTCGGTTACGGATTCCGTTGTGGTTAACTGGTATGAGGCTGTATGCTTAGAGACTTCCCAACGTGATGTATGCTCTGGGAAGTATTTACGTACCGTTTGTATGAGTGAGTCAGCCTGTTTTAAGCCCTATGTGTTCATGACTCCCGTCAATATGTTCTCCATGTGCTTCCAGTGATGATAGACATACGCGCTTCCACTTGTACCTGGTTGCCGCCCGCAATCTCCGTGTTAACCCCGTCCGCTGCCAGTGAGGGATTGGCTGCCTGTGGTCCCTAGGAGAACATCTGCCCCTGGGAGAAAGGAGAACGTCCTTTGTTCACCTGAACTCCTTACAGGCAAAGGCGTGCATGCGGTCATCTGTACCCTTGAGAGGGAGTGTGTGTCCCCATCACCCGCCGCTCCCCTGTTGACGGCTTGTGTGTGTGTGTGGGATGTGGGTGTGGGATGTGTGGAGGTGGGTGTGGGTGGGCGGTGTGGGATGTGTGTGTGTGTGGTGTGTGTTGTGGTGTGTGTGGGTGTGGGTGTGGTGTTGGGTGTGTGTGTGTGGGTGTGGGTGTGTGTGTGTGTGTGTGCTGTGCGTGCGTGCGTGCGTGCGTGCGTGCGTGTGCGTGTGCGTGTGCGTGTGTGTGTGTGTGTGTGCGTGTGTGCGTGCCCGTGCGTCCACATGACCCGCCGCGCCCCGCTGTCAGGGAGTGGGTGCCCGGCTGCGGTCCGCGTCTGATCGCGCTCGGTCACGGCGTGTTCTCGCCGTTCCGGGACCTCACCCCGGCCGAGCTGTTACGCCTCTTCCTCGAGTTCGCCTCGTGGCCAGAGTACTCGGCCTGCTCGTTCCACAACGCCGTCCAGCAGGTGAGACAGCACTGCCGGCCGGCGGGCGGAGTGGCAGCGGAGGCGACGGAAACTCAAATCGTCGCACTGGGTTAGGTGTGACGTCAGTCACTGCGCGTGACGTCATCTCACCGGGCTTATCGCTGAACAATGCGCGGAGCACATGTTGTGTCGCGGCGAGGTGGTCTTGTGCAGCTGATGGGTCGCGGCGAGGTGGTCTTGTGCAGCTGATGGGTCGCGGCGAGGTGGTCTTGTGCAGCTGTCGTTGTATCGCGGCGGGGTAGTTTTGTGCAGCTGTTGTTGGGTCGCGGCGAGGTGGTTTTGTGCAGCTGTTGTTGGGTCGCGGCGGGGTGGTCTCGTGCAGCTGTTGTTGGGTTGCGGTGGGGCGGTTTTGTGCAGCTGCGAGTGGCTAATATTGCTGCGGCTTCACCGCCTGTAACACCAATGCTGAGGGTTTTGCCTTTCTCAAGCCATTGCTCTCTGCTGGTGAATGACCTTGGCTGGCTTTGCTAAAACCTTGCTTGTCAACCGAAAATTTCAACCATTCTGTGGCATATCATCGGACTGTTTCGTCAACATTGTATTGCTTCCTTTCCCCAGTGTTGACGATTCCATGATGCTGAGTGATGCTGTGGTTGAAAATATGTTTTGGGGCATATGAAGCACCGTTCGTGCATATCGGTTTTTCACCTGCTATGACTACCCGCGGTATGGTGGCTATCTGGAAAGCACAGTGCTAGTAGCGATTATCGGAGCTCGGTTAGCATTACGACATGACTCAAGGGCTACGTATTGTTTTAAAGTTGCGAAAGTATTTTGGCCTACTCTCCCAGAAGTTGTTGTGCTTCAGTGCATCATTGGAGAATATGGGCTATATGCTTATTGTGCTTAAGCGTTATTTTGGTCTAGTAGTGATGTCTATTTAAGTGGCGTTCTTTCTCGCGAAAGTCGAATCAGGCAATTCTTGAAATCTCGCCGAAGCCCCTGTCCGTCCATCACGTTCTCCATATACATGCAACGCCCATGGTCATCACGTGGCTTCCCCACATCTGCCGCGTCTGTGCCGGCCCGAGGCGTGCTGGTAGACCTTGTGGGCTGCGTAGTCCCGCGAATGCTGGACATCCAACCACAGCACGGGAGGTGCGAGCCTTGTTATTTATCGGGGGCGACGGTGAGCGTGAGGGGAGACGCTGCTGATGTCAGCGACCGCCCGGTCAAATTGCATTCTGGCTTCTCGGTCACGGCTAAATTAAACCCTTTCACCAGCAACCTTCGCGCAAGAGCAGACTGCCTATAGGCTGGCCGGTGAGTGCCATTCGGAAATCTGGATCACGGCGGCGAGAGCAGTGGTGCCATCGCTGTGGTGGCTTGATGGGCTGGTCCTGACCCTGCCCTAACATCGCCCTGGGCGAGATGCTGACCCGTGTGTCTGTCGCCAGGACGCCCTGGGCGGGATGTCGGAGGAGCTGGATGATGAGGACCTGGCCGGCGAGGCTGGCGGAGACCTGGATGAGTTTGAGCCGGGTCGATGACCGACCGAAGGCCGTGTGAAGAACCAGCCGTGTTGGGGCGAGCATCCCGGCACTGGGAAAGCTCTCGTGGCGTGGCAAACGTGTGGGGCGAACCCGTAGTGGTGGAGCGAAGCTGCCATGGTGTGGCGAGCGGCTCGTGTCGGAGCGAGCGATGGCGCGAACCGGCCGTGGTGGCGCGAACCGGCCGTGGTGGTGCGAACCAGCCGTGATCGCGCCAACCAGCCGTGATGGCGCGAACCGGCCGTGATGGCGCGAACCAGCCGTGATGGCGCGAACCAGCCGTGATGGCGCGAACCGGCCGTGATGGCGCGAACCAGCCGTGATGGCGCGAACCGGCCGTGGTGGCGCGAACCGGCCGTGGTGGTGCGAACCAGCCGTGATCGCGCGAACCAGCCACGATGGCGCCAACCAGCCGTGATGGCGCGAACCGGCCGTGATGGCGCGAACCAGCCGTGATGGCGCGAATCTGTCGGGAGTGGCGCTCTGAGTGAGGTGCGACGCAGTGACAGTGTTCTAAGCTCCAAGGGGTGAGGCTGGGCGGGCCTGTGAACTCAGGTGGAATGAGGAGCAGGGGTGGGAAGTGGATGTCCCGCTGCGACAAGGAGAGGTGTTTTAATGGATTCTACATTGGTCAGCGTACCGGGTCCAGTTTTGTGAATGGAGTTTCAGCCAGACCTTATCTGGTGCAGACAATTGCGCGGGCTTCGGCTGAAATGCAGGTATTGTGGTTCTAGAACATTCGGTAATATTAGGAGTTACAAGTGATCTGTGATAGGGCGCTGTAAGGCATGCCCTGTGCCAGGAATGCGTGGCGTGCGTCGAAGGACCTCTCCACCGTAGTATCATGACGCATAATACAGGCCAACAATATCTGCCCCTCAGGTTAAGCCGCACACCAGCTATGCTGGCAATTGGTTTGGGCGCTCGTTAATGACGGCATGCCAGTGTCATGCGATGGCTCACAGCGGAAGTGCCTTTCTTTTTTGTCTCATGTAGTTTTTGTTTTTTTGTCTTCCGTCACACTGTAGTCTGTTGTTGCGGTGTTCGCATGGAAACGATTGGATGCTGTTGTTTCTACCGCGGACAGTTTTTTGGTGACTTATGGGGCAATAGGCCTTGACGCTGCAAATGTAAATTTGTACCAAAACAGTTCTGCGTTGGCATTCACTAGTTCCGCTCCCTGTGCGGTAGTACCATGGAACTCCCAACGGCGAAAGCCATGCTAATTTGTGTCCGAGTTTTTATTCGCCGTGATCACAGCATTGGCTGTCCGGATTATCTCTGCGACGATAAACAGACAATAAAGATGTTATGCAGTAATCCGGCTCGTTCCAGCTCATGAGCGTTTTGTGACTGTCGGGGCAGTCACGCCAGATGCTACCGGCGGCACGTACATGTATGCGGTATGTTGTACTTACAGCAGAGCTGCCTGGGTAGATGCCAACAATCAGCCGAGGAGCTTCGCCATGATTACCAGGCGGCGTCATATGCCTTATGTGTGGCCACGTAAGCGCGTGGCATGTGTGGCCATGTAAGCGCGCGGCATGTGTGGCCACGTAAGCGCGCGGCATGTGTGGCCATGAAGCGCGCGGAATGTGTGGCCATGTGGGCGCGCTACAACTGTGGCCACCACTGTGCTACGGCCGCCTATGCGCTGGCCGCGCCACACGCCGTCCCAACTCAGGCGCAGCGGGGGTCCGTGTTCGTGTTCGAGCATGGGACCTCTCCAGCCCCAGTCGTAGTCATAGTCGCGAACTACGGGAGTCGAGGAATCAAGCCATTGTTTTTTTTTAAACCGCGAGTTGCGTATCTAAAAATGACAAGTTGTATTGATTTTGTGTGTGAAAAAAACATGCAAATCTTGGCCACAACACAGGGAGTATTTTTCACTCGTGCAGTATGATAAATCCAGTATATTTTGGGTGTCTGAGATAGGTGGTAACTGTGCTTACGGTAACCTGTCTCACATCTGTGGCTTACTGACTGCGAAGGTCATAGACGTTCATATTGGGCTCGACGGTACTGCACGAGTGTCAAATTTGGGGCGGCACTTTCCATCCTGTTGCCACCAGAGGATTGAGACCGCTCGTGGAATGGC